TGTAAACATTATTTGTTAACCATTTATGGAGAAAATTATTTTGTTGAAGACTTGAAAATGAGACATAAATCAATGTCAAGATATACTAATGAGTAGAAAAACTCAAAATTAAGACAGTATTTGGTGAATATACAGAAAAATATACCATTGGAACAGAACAGAGAGAGTAGACTCACAAATTTGAAGATATGACAATATATTTGTATTAGTTTGTGCTATGGTGTGAATCTTTACATCCCCCACAATTCATATGTTTAAATCCTAATCTCCAAGGTGATGGGATTAAGAGATGGGGCTTTGGTGGGTGATTAGATCATGAGGGCTCTGCATCATGTATTTTGTTAGAAAAGTCCAGACTATGTAGTCTCTTAGGGGTAATAAAGTACCACTGACTGTGTGGCTTAAACAACAGAAATGCATTGTCTCATGATTCCGGAGGTTCAAAGTCCAAGGTCAAGATGTCAGCAGAGTTCGTTACCTGTTAGGGCTGTGAGGGAAAGATCTGTTCCAGGACTCTCTCCTTAGCTTATAGTTGGCCATGTTTTTCCTACGGCTCTTTACCTCATCTTCACTCTGTGTGAAGTCTCGCTTTGGCACCCAGGCTGGAGTGCAGTGGCACAGTCTTGGTTCACTGCAACCTCCCCCTCCCAGGTTTAAGCAATTCTCTGCCTCAGCCTCCTGAGTAGCTGGGATTAAAGGCGCATACCACCACACCCGGCTAATTTTTGCATTTTTAGTAGAGACGGGATTTCACCATCTTGGCCAGGCTGGTCTTGAACTCCTGACCTCGTGATTCACCCACCTCAGCCTCCCAAAGTGCTGGGATTACAGGCATGAGCCACTGCGCCTGGCCTGCATTACTTTTTTGAGGTTCATCTTAGTTGATGAAATTCTGTATCCACTTTTACAGTTAGAGATAATTCACTGAAGAAGTAAACTGTTTATGCACATTTCTGTTATTTCTGGGGTTTTTCTAATAAAAGCAGTGGTTAATTTTGCTATGAATATCCTCAAATATGTTTCCTGGTGCACACGTACAAGGGTGTCTCTCAAGTATAGACTTAGAAGTGGAATTGCTCAACTTCAGAAATAGAGTTTAGCAATAAATATTTGAAAACATGAGGCAAGGAGAAAAGGAAAATGAGTAATCACCTTTATTATAATAGATATTGCCTTATTTAACATAATGGTTGTACCACCTTGCACTTCCACCAATGAGAAATGAGAGTTTTCATTATTCCATGTCTTCATCAAACCTTGGTGTTATCTATGTTTTAATGTTTCCCTATTTTGTGGGTGTGAAATAGCATCTTATTGAGGGTTTAAACAGTAGTTTCCTAATTACTAATGTAATTGAACCCCTTTTCACACTTCAATCTCTAAAATGCTTGTTTATGTCTTTTGTTCATTTTTATATTGGATTGTCTTTTTATTATTGATTCTAGGAGTATTTTAAATATTGTAGCTACAAATTACTTATTTATGATACGTGTTAAACATCTATTCTGAATTTTTTCTTGATTTTTCATTCTCTATGTCTATATTTCCCCCTTTTCTAAGGATACCGGGGGTATTGGATTAGGGGCCCATCCCACTGCAGTGTGACCTCATTTTTAACTAAGTATATCAACAAGAACTGCATATCCAAATAAGGTCACATTTTGAGGTACTAGGAGTTAGGACTATATAACATGTGAGTTTTGAGGGGACACAGTTCAACCCATAACAATCTTATGTGGCAAAACTGGCAGTACAGATCAGTGGAGAAAGAATGAACAATTCAGTCAGCATCGCTGGAGTAATTAGTTATCCACATGCAAAAAAATAAACAGTGATGCCTACTTCAAGCTATATACAAAAAATAATTCCCGACTAAAAACTTGAATGGTAAAAGCAACCTTTACAATTTTTAGAAAAAAAAAAAAACAGAATTATCCTGTGAAAGGTGTTCTAATGATATAAAAAGGTTAATAAACTTGACAACATTTAAATTAACTCCTTTATGACACCTGAGAATGAAAAATCAAGAAAAAATTCAGAATAGATGTTTAACACGTATCATAAATAAGTAATTTGTAGCTACAATATTTAAAATACTCCTAGAATCAATAATAAAAAGACAATCCAATATAAAAATGAACAAAAGACATAAACAAGCATTTTAGAGATTGAAGTGTGAAAAGGGGTTCAATTACATTAGTAATTAGGAAACTACTGTTTAAACCCTCAATAAGATGCTGTTTCACACCCACAAAATAGGGAAACATTAAAACATAGATAACACCAAGGTTTGATGAAGACATGGAATAATGAAAACTCTCATTTCTCATTGGTGGAAGTGCAAGGTGGTACAACCATTATGTTAAATAAGGCAATATCTATTATAATAAAGGTGATTACTCATTTTCCTTTTCTCCTTGCCTCATGTTTTCAAATATTTATTGCTAAACTCTATTTCTGAAGTTGAGCAATTCCACTTCTAAGTCTATACTTGAGAGACACCCTTGTACGTGTGCACCAGGAAACATATTTGAGGATATTCATAGCAAAATTAACCACTGCTTTTATTAGAAAAACCCCAGAAATAACAGAAATGTGCATAAACAGTTTACTTCTTCAGTGAATTATCTCTAACTGTAAAAGTGGATACAGAATTTCATCAACTAAGATGAACCTCAAAAAAGTAATGCAGGCCAGGCGCAGTGGCTCATGCCTGTAATCCCAGCACTTTGGGAGGCTGAGGTGGGTGAATCACGAGGTCAGGAGTTCAAGACCAGCCTGGCCAAGATGGTGAAATCCCGTCTCTACTAAAAATGCAAAAATTAGCCGGGTGTGGTGGTATGCGCCTTTAATCCCAGCTACTCAGGAGGCTGAGGCAGAGAATTGCTTAAACCTGGGAGGGGGAGGTTGCAGTGAACCAAGACTGTGCCACTGCACTCCAGCCTGGGTGCCAAAGCGAGACTCCGTCTCAAAGAAATAAATAAATCAAATAAAAAAGTAGTGCAAATCACAGAAGAACACATTCAGCTGGATCTGTTTATATACAATCAAAACCAGCAAAGTGAAACAGTGTACTATTTATACTTTACTACATATGTATATGTCCCTAAATAAGTGTAAGACAATGATAATTTTAAAACAAATTCAGACTTAGTGGTGGTCCATGAGAAGGAGAAAAGGAAATAAGATGAAGGAGGGACACACTGTATGCCTCTAATGATTTGTAGTGTAATTTGTAGTGTGCTATTTCTTAGGTTGGGAAGGAGATACATGGATGTTTATTATATGAAATATAAAGTGTCATAAACTGCTTTTGCCTGCATAATATGTTTTATAGTTTTTTAAAAACACAGTATATAAGAGAAAGGAGGAGACACTGAGGACTATTCACAGGATACTAGCTTGAGTAGTCAAATGGGTAATGACACCATTATCAGATTCAGCAACACAGGAAGAGGGGCACAATTAAATTTTATGACTCTGGTTTTGAAGGGGCTAAGAGTGAAATGTCTCTGACGTATCCAAGAGTAGATGTCAAAGAGGCAACAAAATATTAATATCTGGAGCTTAGATGAGAGGTCAGTGCTGCAGAGATAGATTTGGGCAATAAATATTTGAAAACATGAGGTGATAGGAGAGTCCCAAGACAAAAAGGAAATCACTATTCCTGAGACCTAAGCTCATTCCATTTCATCTACCAAATGATCCAAGCTGAGCTGTACCTTCTGATTTTACTCTCTCCAGGCTTATTCCTCTATTTATATAGACTAGATCCAATACTTCAGACTTCACAATGATTTCCTTCCAAGTTATGTTGACTTCTATCATATAATGTTTTTTACTTACGTTTTTCATTTCTGTTGCCATCAGATTCTCAGTATCTTGTATCCTGGGCTACTACCAACTGATTGTGTTTGAGTATTTATATTTATTTATGTATCCCATCCTATTATTTATCTGTCATTTTAATATATTTTCTTAGTGCTATCAAAACCATTGACAGTACAGAAACTAAACAGATTTTTAATGGGAATCCTTGAAAGGTGATGTTTCAAATATCTAAAAGATAAATTAAGTAAGTCCAGCTTCACTAGTAAGTGAATAAATGTACATTCTAAAAACAGTCAAATTAGATAGAATTTTATATAGCAATTGGCAAACATTTAAAATAGTAACACTCAGATCCTTTTAGGGAATCAACCATAGGACTGTGGTTGGTCTCCTTGAGCAGCTGGAGAGAAGGGATGGGGTGAGTTGATACAATTCTCTGGAAGGCAGTTAGGCAAAATATATGTTGCAAAATATGTTTATATCCTCAGTTGTGGTATTTCCACTCCTGGGAATATGACCTAGGGAAATATTCAAATGTGCAGACAAAAATGTTATATTTGTAGGAAATTTTGTCATATTTAGAATAAAAATCTGGAAATAATCTAAATATTCAGCAATGAAAGGATGGATTACAAATTATTATACAGTGAAATATTCTATAGCCCCTCAGCTTGTGGTTTCAAAGGTTGCTTAATGCGCAAAGTAGTGACACATTGCCTAGTGAAAAATAAAGTCACATGCAACATAGTATTTAAGAAACATAAGATTTAGATCTGCATATGAAATAATAGAGGGCTATTTCTGATCCATTTCAAGTTAGGTATAACTCATTTCTTTGCATCTGGATATCCAGTTATTCTAGCACCATTTGTTACAAAGATGATATTTCCCCCATTAAATGGTCTTAGGACCCTTATTGAAAATCAAAGTACTACTTTTAAAAATCAGAAAACAAAATCAAAGTATACAGAGAAAAAATTAAAAATTAAAATAAAATGTAGAATGAATATCTCTGGTGATAGAACAGTGATTTAGTATTTTCTCCATTATTCATTAACCATTATATTATCCAATTTTTATTCAGAATATCTATTAGTTCTATCATTAGAAAAATATAAAACATTATTAAGGGTGATTCCTTTTAACCTCTTTAACCTTTCCTTTTTAAGGATACTGTCATGAAGCGGACATGTGCTGACACACCTGTTGATCATTGTCTATCTGGCATAAGATGGTGTAGCAGCACCTTTAAGCCTGAAAGTGAAGTCAGCAAGCATGAAACAGCCCTTGAAATGCAGAATCCAAATTTGAACAACAAAGAATGTTGTTTCACCTTTAGTTTGAATGAAAACTCCAGAAAATTAGACCGTAGTGTGTTTACAGCATATGGTAAACCCAGTGAGAGTATCTACTCAGCCCTGAGTGCTAATGACTATTTCAGTGAAAGGATGAAGAATCAGTTTAATAAGAATATTATTGTTTATGAAGAAAAGACAATAGATGGACATATAAATTTAGGAATGCCTCTCAAGTGCCTGCCTAGTGATTCTCATTTTAAAATTACATTTCATCAAAGAAAGAGTAGCGAAGAAGATGGACACATATTACGCCAATGTGAAAATCCAAACATGGAATGCATTCTTTTTCATGTTGTTGCTATAGGAAGGACAATAAAGACGATTGTTAAGATAAAGGAACTTCATGAAAAAGGAAGTAAACTTTGTATTTATGCCTTGAAGGGTGAGACTATTGAAGGAGCCTTATGCAAGGATGGCCGTTTTCGGTCTGACATAGGTGAATTTGAATGGAAACTAAAGGAAGGTCATAAGAAAATTTATGGAAAACAGTCCATGGTGGATGAAGTATCTGGAAAAGTCTTAGAAATGGACATTTCAAAAAAAAAGTTACAACGGAAAGATATCCATAAAAAAATTAAACAGAATGAAAATGCCACTGATGAAGTTAATCACCAGAGTCTGACACAGCCTAAGAAAAATGTCCATGAACCAGAGAAAGATGGAGAGACCAAAGATAGAGAACACAGCAGAGAGCAAATTCTCCTACCTCAGGATCTAAGCCATTATATTAAAGGTAAAACTCGCCAGACAATTCCCAGGATTAGAAATTATTACATTCATAGTTTGACCCGAAAATATTGTCAAATAAACTCACAAGTTAGGCGGAGACCACATCTGAGTAGGCAGTATGCTATTAATCTGGATGTCCAAAAGGAGGCAATTAACCTCTTAAAGAATTCTCAAATGTTGAATGAAGCCATTATGCATCATTATCCGAATTTTAAGGAGGAGGCACAGTGGATAAGAAAATATTTTCAGGAAGAACAAAAGAGAATGGATCTTTCACCATCTAAGCAATTCAACATATATAAAAAGGACTTTGGAAAAATGACTGCAAATTCTGTTTCAGTTGCAACCTGTGAACAGCTTACATATCACAGCAAGTCAGTTGGGTTCATGGAATGGGACAATAATGGAAACACAGGCAATGCTACTTGCTTTGTCTTCAATGGTGGTTATATTTTCACCTGTCGACACGTTGTACATCTTATAGCAGGTGAAAACACATGTGAAAGTTTGTGGCAAGATATAATTAGCAAATGTGCTAAGGTAACCTTCACTTATACAGAGTTCTGCCCTACTCGTGACAATTGGTTTTCCATTGAGCCATGGCTTTTTTCCAATAAAACTCTAGATTATGCCATTTTAAAACTAAAAGAAAATGGAAATGCATTTCCTCCAGGACTATGGCGACAGATTTCTCCTCAACCATCTACTGGTTTGATTTATTTAATTGGTCATCCCCAAGGCCAGATCAAGAAAATAGATGGTTGTACTGTGATTCCTCTAAATGAACGATTGAAAAAATATCCAAACGATTGTCAAGATGGGTTGGTAGATCTCTGTGATACCACCAGTAATGTATACCCTATGTTTACCCAAAGAAGTTTCCTATCAGAGGTTTGGAACACGCACACGCTTAGTTACGATACTTGTTTCTCTGATGGGTCTTCAGGCTCCCCAGTGTTTAATGCATCTGGCAAATTGGTTGCTTTGCATACCTTTGGTCATTTTTATCAACGTGGATGTAATGTGCATGCCCTTATTGAGTTTGGTTATTCTATCGATTCTATTCTTTGTAACATTAAAGAGACAAACGAGAGCTTGTATAAATTATTAAATGATGAGAAACTTGAGACCTACAATAAAGAGAAAGGTAAACAAGAGTCATTGCTTCAAGATCATCAGATTGAACCCATGGAATGTTAGAAAAAAGATGCTGTCTTCAAGAAAATATGCCAATAATTACTGGCAAAAATTTCATGACAAAGACACCCAAAGCAATTGCAACAAAACCAAAAATTGGCAAATGGGACCTAATTAAAGCTTCTGCACAGCAAAAGAACCTATCAACATGCTAAACACACAACCTACAGAATGAGAGAAAATATTTGCAAACTATGCATCCAGCAAAGATCGAATATTCAGAATCCTGCTACAACCACACACATTAAAGATCTCAAATCACCTGATCCTACTATTGCAAATAAATCTCCACTGAGTTATTCATGTAAGTGTTTTATAGGATAAATCAGTTGCAAAAACTTGTTTTTAAATAGCATGCAAATAAAGCCTGCTCTTCACGGCCCCAATTCTGAAAGCCCTGTCATATATCACTGCTTGAGCTTACCTGCTGTATGACCTCTGCCTCCATCCCTCTGAACCAACGATGGGTTTGACAAGACGAACCAGAAACACAGTAGTTTCGAGTGGTTATAATACAATTCATTTGCCACCTGAATTTTAGGTAAAAATTATCACTGGAATGTTCAGGAACTGGGCACATAGACCCTGGAATTTTGCAACAACAAAACACATCTGAATTTGGAATCTATATCTCAAATGTTACCACCTCTGTGACAGCATCCCTGAAGCCCTCTCTGTGCTACCACTGCAGCCTGTTCACTTCAGTATTATGTTTATAACTCTGTTTTTAAATTTTTTTACTTTTACTCATCTACTAGATTGTGACTTAATGGATGGTGAGGACAATGTTAGATTCATCTTGGCAATCCCAATGCTTAACACTATATCTGGCATGCACGAAAATTTCCTCCAACTGAATAAAATTTTTAAAAGGATACCTTAGGTTTATATGTCATAGATATAAATTAGTGGAAGGTAACAGCTATCCCATAGAGCACATTAGAGAGACTGGTGTTCCAACAGCTACATGAAGTGGAAACATACAAACTAGCTAAAGGTGGGGCTTCTCCATCACTTTGTCTTTGCTGCATGATCCTCATGGGCTGCATCCAACCTTATAAAGTCAGCCAAGAAGAGAAAATCAGAGGCTGGTCCATTCCTTGCTGGTGTGATGACATAAGGAGTCATTCTTTGTGAACAGAACTCACTGGTGTCTGCAGTTTTTTGTTTTGTTTTGTTTTTGCTTTTGGTAAAGGTTGGTTATAGTGTTGAAGAAGAACTAAAAGATATCCACTCAAAATGAACTCTGACTAATGATTCTGGACAGTCCAATCCTGTGGTTCAATTTCTTCAATGGCCAGCTAAGGGAAAAGGGACTGAGCATATACATTAATTCCCAGGCTTCAAGGAGCAGAAACGCCTGCAATTGGTTTAGAAATTGCAGTGTGCTTTTGCTCTTGTTGGCTATAAAAAGGCTACGGAGAAAAACGAAAGTTAAGGAATTAAACTTCCTACTGTATATTGGTTTACAAGAAAAAAAATTTATATATATATAAAGTTATTTATATTTAAACCTATATATTTTATATTTTAATCCTTATGCCTTCCCCAGGAATCCCTATACATTTTCATAATAATCCAGGATACCACAAGGGACGGAGAGAAGAGCGTTTGAGATCTTGTTAGCCCTTGAGATGGCCCCAAGGGGCTCACCAGCCTCAGTTCTAGCACCTTTAGACCAACAGATGGTTCTCAGAGGAGCACAAGGAAGTGAACGTTCAGCTTCCCAACTTGACACCCCCACTAACCACTCCAGCTTCCCCAACACTCAGTCGGGGAAATGCGGTTTCCCAGAAGGCTCAAGCTCTGTCCTAGAGAACTGAGGACTGGGTAAACCATTTCCACGCCGTGCTGCCGTTGGCATGAGGGATGTCGGTCCTCGCCTCGGCTCCGCCTTCCGCTTACCAGCTTTCCGCAGGCTCATCCTCTGTCGCTATCTGCTGGCAGCGCGCGGCACTCCCAACCCCGGTTAGGAAGAAACGCCTTTCCTGCTTGAGTTTTAGGGGCTGCTCTCACCTCTCTCGGGAGCCGTCCTGAAAGGGAGCTGCCACGCTGGTCTCATTCTGTAGAGCTGCGAATTAAGGAGTACTGCGGGCGCCTCGAGAGGGTCTTGGAGGGTCTTTCGTGCGGTGAGGTCTGGAGGAAAGCGGGGCGGGTTTCTGCGTCCTGAGGTACAAGGAAGACGGAGGCCACTACAGATCGCGCGCCCCTACTAGTCCCTGCAGCCCGGGCGCTTGAACCTCCGGCCACAGCTAGGACGGGCGCGGTGGTTATTTCCTTTTCTGGAAGGAGGAAGGCTAGCAGCCTCCGGAGTCTTGATGGGGCGGACACCCCCTTAAGAGTCCAAACGGAGAGTCCTTATGAGGGCATTACCCTCTTAGAGGTTCTTTGCCTTCCAGGTTTTGGACTGAGCTGGAGTCTATGATCTGGCTCCTAGGAATCCCGATCTCGCAACACTTTTGACCTCAAGTTGAAATGAACATCACCTTTTCCTGCTAGTGGTTGAGTAATTTGGTAATATTTATCCAAAACCTAAAAATCATGCACAACCATCTAGACAAGTAAACATCAAAACAGAGTAACATGGTAGTAGTAACAGAAGTAATAATGGCGCCATGACATTTCCGGAGCATTCGTGCCAGGTACATCTCTACGACCATCCCATAGGCTACCTCATTTAGCCTCATGCCCTCTATGAGACAGTATTAGCGGGGGCATGTTCTTTACACGCAATGACAGAACCAGAACAGAGGCAAACAGAAAGATGCAGTGGCTTCCAGTGTCGAGCTCAGCACAGTGTTAGTTCTGTCTACATTCTACTGCCCAAAGCCCAACATTGATGGGGTGGGGAGGAACTGCAAAGTCACCAGGCAACCGGTGTGTGTACAGGGAAGGGGGAAGATCTGAGAACAATTTTCCACACTCGGCGACTGGTTCTTCCAATTCTTCAAGTACTTCAAACTAGATTAAACAGCAAACACATGTATTTAACGTAGAATGTGTGTGCATTTTAATATATTGGATAGGCTATGAGATGTGACCTGGTAAAGCACTAGGCTTAGATACAATATTGCATTAAACTGCTCTGGGTCCATGAATGTGAGAATCATATTCATTCACCTCTGTTCCCCAATATCCAGTACAACACCTGGCACAAAGTAGTAATTAACACGTGTCTTAAATGAATGAAACCACTGTGGAAATGATATTATTTGTGTACCTTCTCTGTCTTCCCTATTTGAGGGCAGGACTCAACATTTTACCCTTCATAGAATCTGGCACCAGATCTTGTAAATTGCCACCAGAAATTTATACCTTGAATAGATGATTGGATGAATGAAAAAGCAGTAAAGTAGGAAGGAGTAAGCAACTGTGCCTTTTTGCAGTTAGATATGAGAGGCAGTCATCATTCAATAGAATAAGTTTGGCTTCTGGTTTCAGATGGGAGTACAAATCCTCATAAGGATGTTTCTGCACAATTATTTGCTAAAGCTTGTTGTGAAATGGTGAAGATAACCTTACCTTCCCCACAGGGTTATTGAGAGTATTAAATGAAACAGACACATGTAAATGCCAAACTCAGAGAGGAACTCAAAGCAGTATGGCAGCAGAGGTCATTTCCCTCTACACACTACCTGCTCCTTCCCTGGGCAGACATAAGTGTTAGCCAGGCCAGTGAAAGCAGTCAAGCAGCCAAGTTGGACTTTGCCAAGGTATCCCACACCACCACCACCCCTTTTAAAAGTTACTACAAAAGTAATGATAAGAAAGTTTTATATATAATAACTATGGCATTTTTACCTTGATCACGCATCTTGATTTATCAAACAGGTATTGATTTTCAGTGCTTTCAATTATTAAGAATAAGTTAGGGCAACAAAAAAGGAAATCTGTGTAGAATATGATGAACCTGGAATTTTTGGTTTCATACATATGTGTGTGTATATATATGTATATGTATACATATATGTATACATATATACACACACACATATACAGAGCAGTAATGGCTTTTAAAATAAATTCAAATAATAATAGAAAACAAAACATCTTCATGCGTGATGTAATATTTTTCCTACAAGAAGGCCTTGCTTTAAAAATGTGCATAAGGTTATGCTTTTACATATTTTATATAATTTCTTAAAGGTACTTTATCAAATAAATACTTTCCAGCCAGGGTATCATATTTAAGGGTGATGGCAAATACTCCAAACACACCAGCTGTCACAAAATAATTAGGCTTACATCTATTATTGTTTCTCGTAATAAAATTAATCATAAATGATATGAATTATTGATTAAAATTAGTGTTTATAGACTATAAACCTATGAAAAGCCACAAGAGCATTATTTTTACATATTTTTCAAGCATTCAGATAACAGTGTAACCTTTGATTATAACAGAATTCACTTCTAGCAGAATTACAAATACAGCAATTATAAATATAAATGATACTCCGTTAAGTCCATTCTGCTTTTAACTGTGCAACTATTTACAGCAAGAGGCAGGAATAAAAAGGTGTGGAAGAAAAATCACCCCATGCTGTTTTTGACCTCACACTGTAAAAAGTAATTTCTTACTATCAAAAAAGGCGTTTTCCCAAATAAAAGCAAACAAGGAAACAAAAATACAGGAAAAAAACAAAAACAAAAACAGAAACAGAAACAAAAAAACTACTGACTGTGACTTAAGTGTGAAGGAAAAAATCCCTTTGCAGCTAATGTTGGAAAAAGTGTGTCCCCTGTAGATTTAGTCTAAGAATTAAGAAATTGGCTGGGTGCGGTGGTTCATGCCTGTAATCCTAGCACTTTGGGAGACCAAGGTGGGTGGGCTGCCTGAGCTCAGGAGTTCAAGACCAGCCTGGGCAATATGGCGAAATCCTGTAGTCCCAGCTACTCGAGTGGCTGAGGCATGAGAATCACTTGAACCTGGGAGATGGAGGTGAAAGCCAAGATTGTGCCACTTCACTCCAGCCTGGGCAACATAACGAGACTCTGTCTCCCCAAAAAAAAAAGAAAGAAAAAATAGCCTGTTTAATGAAGCACTGACAATGAACCCAGGCTATGATTATAGAATAGGAGCTTCATAGTAATTGTAAGAACTCTGGTCCTTAGAAGACGAAAGTTAAATTTAATAAATAAGTTTAATGGCCAAAATACCTTTTAAAAACTTGTTTGTAGACTTTAGAATGTGAATTTTATTTGGTTTAGATCTTTCTAAGCTATATTTTGTAACTGAAATTAATACTTCATTTTTGCCCGAAATTAGTAGAAAAAACAATAGCCAAAGTTTGCTACAGAGAAATAAATGTCAATATTAGACCTTTTTTTGAAAATGTAGAGAACTGTAATTAGTAATATAAGTTAAGAAAATGACAAAGATGTCGGATAATGAAGAAAAAATGTGACAATAATCTTTCATCCAAAAAAAGTTATGTTCCTATTGCCTAAAGCCAAAATGTATTTCATTGCAAATACACATAAAGTTTAAGAATTGTTATTTTATGCCCTTTCAGCAGTAAGCCAACACGTAACTTATGATGCCATAAACGTTTTTAAAAGAAATATAATTAAAATTATACAAAATGACAAAAATTTCAGAACGAATGTTGATAAATATCTTGGTACATAGTAGGTTTAGCTGCGCAGATATTAGGTAGAGGAACATGTTTTATATCTTCTATAATAATAACTTTTTATTATTTCCTTGTGCACTAATATTTTAATATATCAAAATCATTTGAATAACCTTCCTAGTAAATCTCAACTTCATAGATTGAAAACTTTTTTTAAAACTTTAAGTTTAGTGGTACATGTGCAGGTCTGTTATATAGGTAAACTCATGTCATGGGGGTTTGATGTACAGATTATTTCACCACCAAGGTATGAAGCCTAGTACCCGTTAGTTATTTTTCCTGATCCTCTCCCTCCTCCCATCCTCCACCCTCCGATAGGCCCCAGCGTCTGTTGTTCCCCTCTGTGTGTCCATGTGTTCTCATCATTTAGCTCCCACTTATAAGTGATACTATGCAGTATTTGATTTCTGTTCCTGCATTAGTTTGCCAAGAATAATGGCCTCTAGCTCCATCCATGTCCCTGTATAGGACATGATCTCATTATTTGTTATGGCTGTGTAGTATTCA